ACTTTCTGATCGCAGGCCGATCTGGGCCGTCGCCGGTAATGGTACCGGCCTGCGATTCAGGCTGTACGATAAGAAATAGCGATTCTTATAGTAGTGTAGATGCCACATAAAATTTCCGTGTTGTACAACTCCCATTACCACCAGAATCATAACTTTTACGATTCCTACTCTTTTCTGCCCAGCTCAATATCTGATCTGCAATCATCCACCCATATGACATGGTCCGCGATTAGAGGCTCAGCTGTCAGCTTGATTTTTCACCCATGAAACACCAGTCCCTATGATCACCTTTTTCCCAATCCGGGTTTCTGCTCTGTGCCAACAGAATCCGAATGGCGAAGGCGCAACATCTTTTTCTTTCTGCCTTCCACCACCAGCATTTTCCTTCCATTCGGCCACGCCACTCAGCATCCCCACTATTTTGTTCCAACGCAGCCGTTAGTCAGCCACAAACTCCAAGGCCACGCCTGCTAATAGAAACGCTAGTAGTGCCGGCCAAAACGAAGCAAGTTCGCACCCACGTTCAGGGTAGTTTTGGCACCTACCGCCAACGCCTACCGTAGGCGGTAGGCATGCCTACCAGTTGGCCGACCCGTAGGGGGACCCGTCGCCGGTCGGCAGACTGCCTTGCAATTTTTAATGTTTTTTTGTGATTACATGGTCGTGGGCGGCTTGAGGAGAGCAGCCCAAATGCACAATAATTTTTTTGGGGGGTGGTGGGGACTTGAGGAGAGCAGCCCAAATGCACAACATTTTTTTTGGGGGGTGGTGGGGATTATAGGGGGAGGTATAGGGGGGTTATAGGGGGTTCTAGGGGGCTCGGGGGGGTATGGGGGTGTTGGGCGGGTGACGCATGCCCAATGGGGCAATGCGTAGGGAGCCAAGGATCCGCAATGTGATGAAAAGGACTGAAATGGACAATGCAAGGTCAGCGCAGCATCAACAAGCAATGTACAGTCCGATACATACAAGATGGCACAAAGTGGCATAGTGGAAGACTTAAAGAAAGGGCATTAGAAAGTCTCCACCCAGCTAACACCACAGACAAACGACATGACAGGGAGCATAAATGGCAAAGCTGAACAAACCTTTATTTCTTCCTCTTTGGTCTCATTTTGAAGCGCAAGATCCCTCAGAGACCTCCTCAGTGAGGCATTTATTTTCACCAAATCGTATGCATCCTTGAATGTCAACTGGTGAGGCCATACAAAACAAAAACATGCACAACATGGCAGTGAAGAGCCCGAACCCCGACAACACACATCAGTCCAGTGCAGCATCTAAGTGGGGAACAAAGTTCAACAAACAGCAAAACCTGCTTTCACTCCTACGAAATGTCAATGCTACCAAATGGCCATAGACTGTAACCAGATGGCTGAGTCCTAATTACCAGGCGCCCTGATATAACTGCATCAGCTGCACTCTCCTCTCCTTGTGACATCGGCATTATAGGCAACTCCAGCTCCACCCGAGATGGGCCTTGCCCCTCGCCAAGTGCAGCATTCTCCTTCACAAGGTACGCAAGCTGCACACAAACACCATAAAAAAAATGAAGAGCAATGAAAGACGCCGCTTAGACACCACTTGGTCAACAAGAAAAGCTCTAGCAATCTAACAGCATCTGAGAGAGCATTTCTGCTTGACAGACTCAATCTCATCAAAACAGAGGACAGTTACCAAGAGAAACATCCACTGTTTTTTTCTGGAAACGCAGATGTCCGTGACAGATATGTCTAGTGGGTGCAACCCCGCACGTCGGCTACCATCTATCCTCTCAAAATCGGAAAATCTGACCGTGTGGATACTTTCCGTGTGCATAGCCAACAAGGGTGAACTGCACAGCCAAACATATCTCTCGATGCCCAAAGTACACCCAGTGGCATGTCCACAAGGCAAAGGGTCACAATATGTTCTTGCAATGACCCTGACAGTTGCAGTTTCGACGAATCTGCACTTTTCTGAGAAATGCTGTCTGTTTTATCTGACTGGTCACCGCTGAGAATTCTGCGTCTGAATCTGCTGTGTTTTCTGAGTATCTGTGTGACCAGCTGGTGATTTATGGCATGCCATGAAAGCTTGCTGATACTGGGTCCTAGTCCGAGTCCATGTGCGAACTCTGTTGGCAGCGTTTTTCTGTGCCTCGGACAGAGATAGGATAAAGACATGCAAAGCACCAGGGACCTGCTAATTATTTATGGCAATGCCGTGAAAGCTTGCTGAAGTGCTGGGTCCAAGTCCAAGTCTGTGCGAACTCTGTTGGCCATGTGTGTTTCTGTGCCTAGGGCAGTGAGATAGGATAGAGATACGGGAAGGACCAGGGACCTGCTGATGATTTATGGCATGGGGTGAGAGCTTGCTGAAGTTCTGGGTCCAAGTGTGAGTCCATGTGCGAACTCTGTTGGCAGTGTGCTTCTGTGCCTCCGTCAGAGATAGGATAGAAATACAGGAGTGTGAAGGGACACAGCAGAAAGTTGGCTGGGACAGAAAACCAGGAACTCATAGGGATACTCCTGCAAGGCAGCTAGGACTAGATGGATCCGGTAGCTGTTCAGTAGGTCATGATGGCCAGGCCCCAACGTAGATGGCTTGTAGAGTTAGATTCAGGCCCTCAAGGTAGATAACAGTCCGCAATGCCAGTTGTACATGGACTTCATTGAGAGGGCAGATATGCCAGTAGGGAGGAGAGGTACAAGAGTCGTTCTGTGGTCCTTCAAACATCGAGCTAAAGGAGAGCTCTCTCTACACTGGCAGTAGGTGGGATCATTCACACATTGATTCTTGTTCATTCATACATTACCATTGTAATTCGTCATTGAGAAAGAGGTGGAGGTGATGCTGACGAGGGAGATTAAGGGCGCAAGATAAGAAGGGAAATGACATTGGTTCCAGCTTGGTGTCCTCCTTTTATAAGACTTTCCTATGTTTCCTTCGTTCTTCTTTTCTTCTGAAACCATTCTTCTACTTCAGTTCAGATGTACGGCATTGTCACAATTTGAGTTCTGCAACATGAAACGGACAGGATCACAGCACTTTCCACACAAAAGTAGGCCAAGGAGAGAAGGCGGGAACAGTGCGTGCAAGAGAAAGCGAGAGGAATCAGCAGGATGGGAGGACATTGGGAAACCTGAATAGAGAGACAGGAGATGGAGTTGAGATTGGAGCAATCAGGATGTGGTTGAATGGTAAACACATGGTATTTTCGATAAACTCGTCAAGAGTTCCAAGAGCTATTCATTTATCAAGACTTAAAATCCCATTGGTTACGAAACTTCATGTGAAACGGTTTTCACCTTTGCAGAGGCAGATGCAGGTCCCAGGATTCGATCCCCAGACCTTACCTTACCCATGTACAGTACCGAGTTGACCCCTGAGTGTTTGAACCCGTGACCTGTGTATTCACAAACAGTTGGAAGGCTGTTTTAGGTCCGTAGGTTGTAGTGGATTCGATCTGTAGACCTGTCGGATAGGAGTCTTACGGAGTTCTAGAAGTCGTAACTGTAGACTTCCCGAAGGGTCAAGGTCGTAGCTGCTACAGTCCAGAAAGGTCAAGGTCATAGCTGCTACAGTATCGCAAGGCCTAGTCTACAGACTTAAGGAAGGTCTGAGTAGTGGCCTTTCGAAGTTCCCCACTCTTAGGCTGAGGCAAGTGGGCAAGTGGCGAGGCAAGTGGTGTAGTCTACCCGTGCTGAGTCAGTAGGCAGTCCGTGTCCAGTCAAGCAAGTACCTCATGGGACTGTGTGCACTACGGGCATGGGAAAGGGCCAGACCAACGAGCTGCAGAAGTATAAATCAAGAGGCAGCGCCCAGTCATTCATTCATTCCTGCGGAAGCCATGCGGAAGCGCTGCCACAGTGACTTGTGCGAGGTGGTCTGCAGAGGAGCCTGAAGTCGAAGTGGGATGAAGGGAGTTAGCGCAGCCATAGCTGCTTGTAGAGTAGTGTTAGTTGGCGGCCATAGCTGCCATAGTTAGTGATAGGTGTGTATTCGTGTGTGTTACAGAGTGTGTGCGTGGGGTATCCAGGGTGATCCAGAGTTGAAGTGTGAAGTGAACAGTGGTGTGGAACACAGTGACGAGAGTTGCGACTTGCTGAGTCTGAGTCTGTCTGTCTCTTCTTTCTGCATTGAGTCTCTTCTGTCCAGGTGATAGGATTCTGTGTATGAAGGATAGGGCCTCGTTGACCAAACCCCTTCAGGGCTGAGTAGGGCTAAAGACTGTCTGACAACTCGACTGTCCCGGAGGACACGAACCCTTCCAAGGCCCGGTACTGACCGGCGGGCTGCTCGTGTGGCACGGTAGGCCCGAAATCCGCGCTGTGGGCTGCACAACGGGCCATCTAAGTCTTGAGAGAACGTGCTGATCGCGTCGTCCTGTTTACGACGTTAAAGAATTCCTGAGGAGTTACAGGGGATCTCCTTAAATGCCTCCTGATCAGCAACAGGTTCTGTAGTGACGGCTGTAGTTTAGAGTCTAGGCTAGTGCCCCTAGTTGACAGGGTCTGAACCGGAGTGAAAGCCAGGTGGGTTTGACCGCAGGTGCTGGGCATCTGGGTCTGGATTGCAAGGACTGTGGTTGCGAAAGCTTCCGTCGGCCGCGGTAATCTGGCTGGAACAAAGGGTAAGATTCTGTAGTCCATAGAGAGTCAGTCAGTCTTAAGTTAAGTAGGGAGAGCGTCTAAGTGGTGAGGAGTGGAACCGTTGCTGGGTTGACACGCGTACCGGAAAGAGCACTTCCCCTTACACAGCCGAAGAGGAGGCGAAAGCCGCCGCCATCCTGAAAGAGAGAAGAGAGAAGGAGGAGGCCAAGAAGAAGGCCCTGATAGAAGAACAGGCGGCGAAGTTGAAGAAGGTTGAGGAGGAGATGGCTAGGGAGAAAGAGAGGTTGAGGAAAGAAGAAGAAGAGAAGCTTAAGGTGGTGGAAGAGGAGGAAGAGGTAGAAGAAGAGCCACTGGAAAGGAGAAGAAGGGAGCAAAGAGGGGAACCCAGTGGAACAAGGGATGATCAGTTGGAGAAGAAGATTACAGAGTGGGTGGCTAATCTATCCCTGGGCGAAGAGGAAGAAGCGTTGATGTATGTGCCCAGGGAAGAACAGGAGGCGGCGATGAAAGAATGGGATGTCGAAGAGGACCCACTCAAGCGGCAGGCATTGGAGGATGAGACGAGGATGGAGTGGAAGCTAAGACTCATGAGGGAGAGAAAAAGGAGAATGGAAGCGGTGAGCCAGGCGGCAAAGGAACTGGAGGAGGTAAAGAAGCAGAGAGACCAAATGGCGGCGCAGGTGGACCTGCTGGCGAAGATGGAAGTCATGGCTAGGAACATCGAGCGTTTGACACTCTCCGACACGCGTTATCATGTTACCCACATTCCTTGTGTGCACTTGTTTGCATTTACGGCCTCTCCCCATCCAGCCGTCACCCATTGGCCACACGAAGTGTCAACAAAACACAGCATTTCAAGCCAAATCTAGACCGCCCTTTCCAGCACCCGACAGTAGAAAAACGGCCACGACCACCAGTGGCAGGTGCTGCAGCTGATAAAAATTAGTGATTTGTAGTGTATACATTTCATCACAGTTAGAAGAATGTGTACAAAAGCATCACAGAAGTCACAGCTATACATGGCCCATTTCCTCGCATACGCTTCTACCAGAACCTGGACATCTTCTCTTCCATACACGAGTACCCGACCAAGCATACCTGTGTCCAGGTTCGGCTCCAGGTCCAGGCCCGGATCATGGTCCAAGTCCAGGCCCAGGTCCTGGTGCAGGTCCAGGCCTAGGTATGGGTTCAGGGTACCTGGGAAACGGACCAACATGCTCAGCATGTTACCTTTGTGGTTTACATTTCATCTGTATGTAATCTTATTTGAAGTCCTTGTCATAAACTTGTCCACGAAAACAGCAGCACTAACACTGATATTCCAACAAATAGCAGACATCCCAGGCATCACCATACCTGGGTCAACAAGTCGGAAGCTTCCTTTTCAAGACTCTTAATCTCTCTCTCCCTGTCCCGCACGAGTGCCTGAAAACATCACAGAGCCACAACGAGGGCCAGAAGGCAAGTGAAAAATACGATTGAACGCCGTTATTCCAACAAGATGACCTGTGAGGCTTTGACAACATGTGGAGAGACTCGTTTGAACATCAAACAGTCAGTTTAGCACCAATTTAATGTGCGAAATCAAGAGATCTTGAAACAAAGACAGTGTTGAGTTTGCAATGTGTCAGAGCGATGTAAATTGCGTAACACCGACTTACAATATATTCCGAAGCAGATGGGAATCAGGAATGTTTTGAAAGAAGGGTGTAGTTCACAGGGCAGAGGACCCAACATGAGGATGTGTCATTGAGGATCTGGAGCATGTTTTTACAAGGGCCCACTACCAAGATCCGAGCAAATTATAACCGCCACAACAGCATTGATAGACTCATTACAAGGGGATGAACTGTCCACCCTACCAAAAACTGGGCCACCATCAATCATTTAATCCCCAACCTATTGAGAGAGAATCCCTAACCTATATCAACAGTTGTCCCATGCTTCTTGCCCTCTCCCCCCCCGGCTCTCGCTCCACCCAACCTATTGAGAGATAATCCCTAACCTATATCAACAGTTGTCCCATGCTTCTTGCCCTCTCCCCCCCCGGCTCTCGCTCCA